AGGAAGGAAGGAAGGAAGGAAGGAAGGAAGGAAGGAAGGAAGAAAAAAGAAAGAAAGAAAGAAAGAAAGAAAGAAAGAAAGAAAGAAAGAAAGAAAGAAAGAAAGAAAGAAAGAAAGAAAGAAAGAAAGAAAGAAAGAAAGAAAGGCAAGCAAGCCTTGGTGGCACAATGGTTAGAATGCAGTATTGCAGGCTGACTCTGCTGACTACCAGCAGTTCAATCCTGGCGGGCTCAAGGTTGACTCAGCTTTCTATCCTTCCCAGTTCAGTAAAATGAGGACCCAGATAGTTGGAAGCAATATGCTAACTCTGTAAACTGATTGGGGGGGGGGGGCTGTAAAGCACTATGAAGCGATATATAAGTCTAAGTGCTATTCCTATTGCTAAAATAGTCACCATCACAAGCATGTTGACGTCTCAGACATGAAGTTCTCTTGTCAGCTCAACTACCTTTTGGACTTCAAAAAGAAGTGAAGGGATGTACAGCACTGAACCCCTTTACATTCACTGCAGTTTCTCTGATACAGAATAATTTTTTCTTTAGATTTGATTTTTCCAGGTTTAACTATATGAATGAAATACATTTTTTTTCTCTTCCAGGAGCCTGGATACAAACGGATTTCCCATCAAGTTCCCAAATATCTGAAGAGGGCCTGAGAAATAACGAGGAGTCCAAATCACGATTAAATATCATCTCATGGATTTCCTTGCCCGGAAGCGTTACTGATGTTATCGAGGAGATACAAGCTCAAACAAAAATAAACAAAACAAACAAAACACAAACAAAAAATATAGCTATGGAGGAAGAAACTGGACATGGTAAGAAAGGCCAATCATTGCACATGTTATTAGGACTACAATTTCTAGAATTATGCTTGCAAGGAATTAATAATTTAAATTTATCTGACAAGGATAACTTTGAAGAAGCCATAGATCTCTATCTGAATTTCAGTGCTGCTGTCCTGACAAGGCACCAATGCTGAATGTTCAAGATAAGAAATTACACTAATGATTGCATGTACTGTATATATACAGGTAGTCCTTGAATTGTGTGACTGCAATGGAAATGCCCACCACAGTCGTAAGTCATAAAGGCATAATTTACCACATGGTTGGTTGATTTTTTTTTATCGTGGCAAGCAAGTACCAGTTTTCAACAAAACCATCATAAAACATAGTCATATGTGTATGAGACACTAGAAAGGGTTATACGCGTGGTTGGGTTGCTGAGCCCCCAAAGTGTGGACCTGTGACTTCAGGGAGCGAGGCAGGGGTGGGCATCAAATTTTTTAGCAAGGGGCTGTCTGCCCTAATGACTGGCTGGGTGGTCATGTGACTGGGTGAGTGTGGCCAACTCAACGTTGCTTCTTTGCCCTAATTATCTAAATAAAGATATGTACCAAAAAGTTGTTTATTATTTTGTGCATTTAATACCTTAATAAAAGACTGGGTGAAACCAGGTTTAATAGCAGTGACTGTGAGCGGGATCTTGGAGTCTTAGTGGAGTTTCTGGTGAGTTAAGTGATTCTTATTATTTGGGCATTAATCCCCTCAGAGGTTAGTGGCTATGTTATCTGATTTTCTCAATGGCTCTCCCTCGCAAGCGCTGAGTGGATTGTTTATCTAGCTTGCAACACTTTTACGAGGTGTGAAATGTTCTTGGCTGAATGCCCAGAAGTTCAATGATAAGCCTATTAAGAGCTTTCCCTTTGATGCTTGTCTTTCTGAGGTTATTGGGGGCTCTCCTGAGCCCCTGCGAGCCCCCAGCAGCCCACCCCTGGAGAAAGATGACTGTCCGAACTTTGGATCTGGACCACAAGGTCCCTATTTCAGGGAGGTCACAACTTTCAGTGGTTGTTACATGACCAGTCATAAGAACTGCATAGATATGCATATATATGCACCCATCGTGTGAAAGAAGGTATGAGGTAACAAACATTATGCAAGTGCATAAAAGGAGTAATCTGCAGCACACATGTTAGGAATACAAGTCACCTAACAGGTATTTGGGTTAGAAATATATAAACCAGGATAAACATTTTAGTACTATATCTTTAAGGGTATGCAAGAGCATGCAATTGGGTGTGGTTTCTCAAACAGCCATAAGATGGAGCCAGAAACCTGGGTCGTTTAGTCTTAGTCTCAGAAGAGAGTGTGTCTGAGTGTATATGTTTCCTTTTGTTGGAAAGTATTGCCGTTGCTCCATTTCTTCTAATTGACTGATATTACTGGATTTAATGTAAGTCTGATACTGAACTGTTTTTGACACTGGAATTTGATATTTGGATTATCCCTGGATTGAAAACTGACTGATTTAACTTGTGAATGACTTTGGACTGCCTATTTTGGACTTTGCTTAATCCTTTCTGGAAGTAAAAACCTACATTTACTATACAGTGTATCTGTGTGCTCTGTGTGTATTATTCCAACACTACTCTCTATACGTCTTCCTGTATGCGCTCATTCTCCTAACGGGGAATTACCTCAACAACACATTGGAAAAGACAAGTGTAGAAGTACATATTATAAAGTCAGCCTGGTTTTCAGCTTGATTTGTTTTGCAGGGCAAACTTTCTCAAATGAGAACAAGAGCTTTGACCACAGTAAGACTTCCTTTGCAAAATGTCTCAATGAAAATGAAGAAAACCAAAAGGAAACAGAGAAAGGTACTTTTCACAATATAAGCAGAAACTAACACCATTGTAGCCTGCCTGCCATTTCATGATATAATTCTCATGGCAACATTTGGGTCTTTCCTTTGCCATGTCTTATTTGCATAATAAATATAATTTCTCTTTCATGGCTTCATTGAACTTATACAATCCCTGGGAAACTTGGGGATAGGAGAATGTGCCTGGATTGTAAGGCAACATGGTGTCTTCCAACTTTTCCAGGAGGCTAATGAGTTATTGGAAAAGACCAAAACCACACAAAATACTTTGGAGGTGCATCGTCTCACCTCTTCCCTCAGTGAGGTGAATTATGCTGCCTCAGTGGCATGAAACGTCTTACTGAAACCATCACGTATATACCTGCTGTTTTGTATCACTTGAGGGCACCTTGTTTTAAACTCATTTTACCGTTTTGTTAATGACAAATGCATGAGGGTATCAGTGTCCTCTTTTTGGCCTGCCCTTCAAAGTGTGAATAGTCGCATTGCCTTGCTTCTTTGCATCACCTGTTCAAATTTGTATTTAAAAAAACAAGGCTAGGATAAGCAAATGGCAGTTCAGAGGTTGCTGGGCTACACTTACCAGCATCCTTAGCCAGGAATAGGAGATCTTGGAAAGCAACACCCATATGTGGCCTGGGATGAGATAATAAATTTGATTATCTGGAAATTCTGAAACTTAGATGGAGGGGACCAGGTTGCAAAAGGCTATCTTAAAGGCCCAAGTGTTTGTCTTTGGCTATGCAATATTTTACGTTGATAACAAAATGATGCTTCACACTGTGTTATAGTAAAAGCACAGCATCTGTTCATAATTCATTAAAGCAGTCCAGGAACTCAACTCTATTTGTGAGGAAAGTTCTTCAGTCTCAGGGGAAAAAATGCAGTGGCTTCAATGAGTTGCTGACAATGCTGCATTCAGGCACCAGGATTTTTCAAAGCAATGTTTCAGAATCAAATCTGTAGCATTGCACAGCCCTATTCTTTTTTTCCTTTTTCTTCATATTTTTTATATATTGCAGGTTATCCAAGTTCTCCTGGACAGTTGTTTCCTGACACTCAGCTGGATGGATATCAATCCAAAGAAGAACTATTTTATATTCCCTATAGATCAGCTAAATTATACATTACCAAGGTAAAGAGTGATGATTATTTCTGACATACATTGACTTTATGCAGTAAGGAACATGATAACAAAATGGGAAACAGAAAAAATACCACCACTGTACAGCCCCTCGCAAAACATCACCAAAAGTACCAAGGAAACAATATAAAGAGACAGTTCTCCTGAGAAAGTGGAATATTATTTGTCAGTAATATATCAGTGGTTCATTTTCACACTCATTCTCACTTAAATTTTACTAATCACAAATCAGTTATTTCCTCCTTTTCCTATTTCAATAGTTGTCTCTTAAGAAAGTACTTTTCATGGTCATCTATTTAATGAATAATAAATATCAAATCAGGTATTTACAAACATTCTGTCCTGAGATACAACTATGGTTTACACCTGGTTCAAGAGATAGATATTTTTACTCAAGTGCTCAACAAGGTAAGATTAGAATGAGATTTTCCTTTGCAGTTCCTGATTTGCTACCTTTCCCTTGGCTCACAGAAAGATCCCACTGAATGAAGGAGATTAAAAACATTTCACAAACCTACAAATATTCATCCAATGAGCAATAGAGTACCATAGATAAAAAATGTGTGCCTTAAATGTTAGTTGTATGTCCACCAAGCCATATGCCATACTTTGTATGTACAATTTGTTCCTTTAAACATTTTTATCACTTTACTTCTAAACCTGTCAGATTTTAAAAATCACAGTTGCTAAGTCAGAACAGTATTACAGCTAGTCCTCAACAGACCACAATTGGGACTTTGGAATTTCTGTTGTTAAGGCAGTTGTTAAGTAAGTCTTGTATGATTTTACAACCTTTCTGCAACGATTTTTAAGCGAATTACTGAAGTTATTAAGTGAATGATAAGGTCATTAAGCAAATCCAGTTTTCCTCACTGACTCTGCTTGTTGGAAGCTGGCTGTGAGGATCACAAGTGGTGATCACATGACCCCAGGACAGCTTGTAAATACATGCCAGTTGCCAAGTGACTAAATTCTGATCACGTGACCTTGGGGGTGCTGCAACACTTGTAAACGGGAGGACGGATTGAAATCACTTTTTTGTAACTTCAAATGGTCGCTAAAAGCAGAGGTCTCCAAACTTGGCAATTTTAAGACTTCTGGACTTCAACTCCCAGAATTCCCCAGCCAGCTGGATGGAGAATTCTGGGAGTTGAAGTCCACAAGTCTTAAAGTTGCCAAATTTGGAGACCTCTGACTAAAAGGATGGTTGTAAGTCAAGGATTTCCCATATAATGGGTGTGAATTGATTGAGCCTCCTAAAATGAAATGCGGTTAAGGTGCATTTTGGTCTTGCTGTCTGCCTGTGCTAGTTTAACCATCTATATTGTTTCTCTTATAGTACAGTACAGCCAAATGTTGACTGAATGTTCACCCCGACACACTGTTAAGGATCTGTGTTCAATAATGATATGGATTTATTTTTTCTGTTTGCCTTTCTGTGCAGATTGCAAAAGACATGCACCAGATGAAAATCAGATACACGAAAATTATCAAAGAGCTGGAGCATGTTGGAAAAGAAAGCCAGGTGATTTGTTTTTTGTTTATTTCCTGTTATGACAGAAACAATCCAAGTGCCCAATTGCTTTTCATTTCACTGTGAGAACAAACATGAGTCAACCAAACCCTTTCTATTTGAGTTGCATCTGATAAAGGATGTCAGATACTTATTTTGACTGCAATTGTCTACATAGATAGGTAGGATTAAGCCTTGTGCATTTGTAAGATGGCATTGTAAGGGGAAAAAAAATTCCAAATGTAATGCAGAGAAATCAGTCTCTTCTATCTCTTGTTTATCAAATGTATTAGAATTTGCCAGATTTTTAATACATTTGGAAAGCACCAGATGAAAAAAAAAAGCCTGCCGCAACCAGACCAGAGGTGGTATTCAGCAGGTTCTGACCAGTTCTGGAGAACCGGTAGCGGAAATTTTGAGTAGTTTGGAGAACCGGCAAATACCACCTCTGTCTGGCTCCGCCCCCATCTACTCTCTGCCTCCTGAGTCCCAGCTGATCGTCTGGGTCTTCTTTTGTTGTTCTGTACAGGAGAACGGAGCTGGAAAGCAGGTTAGGGAACGGGATTTTGCAGTAACCTTCCCCCAAGAGTGGGGAGGGAATGGAGATTTTATTTTATTTTTTAAGTTTTTATTGTTTTTTTTAAAAAACAAACATAAACAAACAGAACATAAAAACATCAAGCCAACTTCCATATGTGCCGGTTGGTTTACAAATTGTTTTGTGCTTCCATTTCGTAATCTTCAATTACAATTACATTGCATATAATCTCGCATTTTCAATCAAAAATTAAATACCTTAGTATCATTATTAATCAGTCATTTGACTATACTTTTATTCATTTATGTTTTACAAGATAATCATAATTTACTTAGTTTGTTTTATAACAGTTCATATTATCATCCCAAATCTATCCTAAAATCATTTTGTAGATATAATAAGAAGTACATCTTTATATATTTATTATTTTCTAAAAGTCTACATATTTCATTGCTGTATTTTATTGTCTAACCATTGATAGAATAGATCCCAAATTTTATAAAATTGTTTATCCTCTTGTTCTCTAATTTCAAATGTCAATCTACTCATTTCAACACATTCCAATATTTTTTTAATGATTTCCTCCTGTGATGGTGTTTTCTCATTTTCCCAGTTTGGCAAATACAATCCTAGCCACTGTTAATACATTTACAATCAGATATTTCAAGTCTTTACTATATATTTCAGGTAAAATTCCCAATAAAAATATCTCTGGTTTCAAGTCTATATGTTTTTTTGTGATTTTTTTCCAACCACATGTGGATTTTAGTCCAGTATTTTTTAGCATCCGCACATTTGTGCGGAATGGAGATTTTACAGTATCTTTCCCCTGCCGTGCCCACTAAGCCACACCCACCAAGCCACGCCACACCCATCAAGCCATGCCCACAGAACCGGTAGTGAAAAATTTTGAATCCCACCACTGAGTCCGCAACCTGTTGAAACTAATGAGATTCAAATGCAACAAACCTTGTTTAGGATTAGGCCACAATAAAGAAATGTTCAGGAGAGACCATTCTCCCTCAAATGGTCTTATGATCTAATTCATTTGCATCTGTGTTTTTTCAAACCAGGCCACTTTAAGATGCTGCTTGGAAGTTGAAGTCCACACATCTCTAAAATTGCAGGCTTCAGAAACCTGTATTGTATATTCTGTTCTCTGTCTTTTACCTCTTTCTGAATATGATGGGGGCTATTGCAAACATAAAGTCCGTTTTTCATATTAGAAGATAGCTCCCTCTAGTGGTTCTCTGGATATCTATGGGTGAAAGCATTTAAAGTAAAGATCCAATTATCTGATAATAAAAAGGTACTGTCTCCTTGAATGGAGCCTGCAGTGACTTTAATCTGCAAACGCACTATGTAGGTTTCTTGTCAATAGTGAGGAAATAATTTGCCATTCTTTGGGATATATTTGAACATCCTTGGAGCCTATCATCCAAATACTAAACAGATACTTGACTCTCACAATTTGGGGGGATTGTTTGTTTGTTCGTTTGTTTAGATTAATCAAAATCTGAGAATAACCTTCTGGAAAGAGTGTGTGTGTGTGTGTGTGTGTGTGTGTGAGAGAGAGAGAGAGAGAGAGAGAGAGAGAGAATATATATATGTAACGTGCACACATATACTGATACATATACCTATACCCAGGAGTGGGCTTCAAAAATTTTAGCAACAGGCTCTCTGCCTGGTTGCTGGGTGGGTGTGGCCATGGTAGGTGGGGCCTAGTCAGCCTCCTGCACCAGAGGCTTTCCTCAAGTCTCCAGGAGAGCAAAAACAGCCTCCCTGGCTCCGGAGGCTCTCTGGAAGCTGGAAATGGGCCTGTTTCCAGCCTTCCCCAATTTCTGGGAGACCCGTTTTTTGCCTTCTCTGAGCGTCTGCACGCACTCTGCATTTATGTGTATCCAAAACGGGCTGCATGGAGACACTTGGGAGGGGTGGGAGTGGGATTTGGAGGTTCTCCAAACTGTGCAAAATCTTAGCTAGAGGTTCTCCCAAACCCCCAGCAGTCCACCCATGCCTATACCTATACATATGATTTTGTGTCCTTGTCCATTCGTTTAATGGAGTAAAAAAAATTGTACAAAAATTGGAAAAAGATGGAAGGGAAAGAAAGACACAATGTGTGCTTTAAGAAGAAGATATTGTCCCTTCAAATATCTGGAAATATTTCCATATATTCTTCCGTGTCTGAGTTCCTAGTCCAGGAATGGAAGATCTTTTAAGGGGCTACTACTGCAGTCACCAATCATGCACAGAGGCAGACACACAGACATCGATGGGTATGCATCCAAAGCTCCCATCTGCAAAATGAACTCCCATTAATTATGTCCTCTTTTTGGAGGGGGAAAGGAAAGGCCACGAGAGACCTCAATACTCCTTTGTTCTTCTTCTCATCAACCGCCAAAACACTCCATTTCGTTGGCGGGAAAAGCAGATGCAATCAATAATCTTCTTTTCCTTCCAATAATATAGTTGAATGTTGTATTAGGTTTGTTGTAACTGGGCTTATTATGTGTCTTCCCTAAGGGAAAAAAAACCCCTTCCTCATCAGTCAAGGTGATGGTGGCTAATTTCGACCTCAATTGAAAGGACAAACACGAGCAGTTTTACTGCAAGTTTATGCAGATGTCCATTACTATCTGAAGCTGGAAACTGTGATCTTTTAATTCATGTTAAATTAGGCACCCTTGTGTTTGACATAGTTGCCCTGTGGATCTGTTGTCTTAGAACATAATTATTTCACTATCTTCTCTCTGCATCACAGCCAATCCATTTTTAATGTTGTTATTAAAACTGCATAATTAAGAATAACTAACCCTCCAAATGATTCAATTTCATTTGAAATGTTGGAGGTCTGTGAGCTGTCTTAGTCATTTCTGATGAAAATATAATTCTTTGATAAAGTGTATCAGCAGGACTTTGGAAAACCTAAAACTCTAGAACTTGGCATGAGGTGGGGAAATCTCGCAAAATTTTAAAAATTCTATTTGTATTTGGATATTTGGACACAACAGCAGGCAGGGGTTGGATTCCACTGGTTTAACAACCGGTTCAGTGATCGGGCACTTTGTTCCGTGTGCACGCTCCACATTTCAAAAAGTTTTAATACTTACCTTCTACAGCAGTCCCTGTAAAGAAAACAGCTGAGGGGCGGCTAACCGCTTTGCTATGCGAATCAGCTGTGCTCTAAACAAAGGAAGTAAAGGACAGGAAAGAGCAGGGGCAGACCGGTGGACCCACATGTTTGTCACAGCAAACTAGGAGACAGGAGCAAGGGGTTCACCCAAACCAGTCCGAACCAGTAGAATTCCACTCCTGACAGCAGGCTTTGTTTAACAGCAAAGACAAACAACATTTTCCTTTCTTCTTTGTCCATGCTATTCCTTTATTTTCTTAACTTGCACATGAGGCATCACTGGACTCTTTCAAACAGAGACTGGATAGCCATTTGTCTGAAATTCTCCTGCTCCAGCAAGGGGTTCGACTAGAAGACCTCCAAGGTCCCTTCCAACTCTATTCTATGTTCCATGTTTCATTTTCTATCTGCCAATCCCTGATTATAATCTGGAAGGATTGACTAACAAGAAAAGTTAGCCTTGTTGGGACCAAATATGTCTATGTTAGTCCAATTGTTGCAGCCTATTATAATTCTGTCCTTACTTCCCTGGCCATTGATTCTTTGTTAGGAAGATGGAAATAATCAGAATTACAAAACTCATCCCTCTCAGGATAAATGAAATAAAACAAATCCCATTTCTCTGGATGGATTGTTTCACCTGACTACAAAAAAAAACGTTTTGCTACCCAAGAAAAAGGATGAGACAACTCATTCTAGAATGTGTAATCCTGAAGAGGGTTTGAGACGAGATGGTGACCCTATATTTAAAGTATTTGGACTTATAGACAGTACTGATTTGGACCAAAAATATTCTTTGAGTATAATAACTCAATTGTGACCAGAATTGAGTTATATTTTCCCCCAAAAGAATTTTCTGACATTTTCCATTTTCTCACAAGTAAACAAATAACAATAATTCCCACAACATAACTTTCTACAAATGCCTCTACTATTCCTTCTGCTGGCTGCAGTTCTCTTCCAAAATGGAAAGGAATAGCACAGGGATCCCCAACCTCGGTCCACGAAATGATATTGGTCCACAGACTGTTGGGAACCAGCTGGGCCACACAAGCGTTGGGCAAGCTCGCAAGGCTCCATTTGTGCATTCACAAGATTAAGTTGCATGCACAAAACCATCCCCTTCCCACCCACCCACCGCTATCAGTCCACAGAGTCTGAAAGTCTGGGGACTGCTGAAATAACAGCAGACAAAAAAAGAATGTGGAGAAAAAAGCATTCAGACTTTGTTTGAAAGCACCATGCATTTTAAGCTAAGGTTAATTCCTTGGAGGTACTATCTCTATTAACCCAAGCATTGGTGGGCATCCAAGTAAAATATTTTGTAATTTTGTAATTTCAAAATCTTTGGAGATGGAAGCACCAAATACTCCAGGAGACTAGCAATGTCATGTGACTTGGGCCATTGTATTGATTTATTTAAATGGTTTGCCCATTCTTGGTGCTCTGATACTCATTAAAATCTTTTGGTAATATAGACAGCAACATAAAGGCCAAGGTTATGAATCCCCGATTTCCTGGTGTGTCCCCAACCAAGTAAACTACTATAGAAAGTCAAGTTGTTATCAACTGTATATTATAAAAAAAAAGATGCACAATCCAAATGTTTAAATTCAGAGGATTATTTTCTCCCCTGATAGCTGTCATTAAAGATTATTTTCCTCACCATAATCTGTCGATAGGAGCAAGCTGTAAGGGCAGTGAAAAACCAATACAGCAACAAAATTAAGCACCTGAGATCTTCTCTGGAAGCTTATCAAGAAATGGCAGGAAAAGAAAAGAAAAGCTGGCAAGACACAAGAAAGGTAAGAAGCAAAATGTAGTCATCTTGAATGAAAGGTAAGCAACTACCTACATACCACATGCATGATTTATGAATTGCTTCTTGTCTTCTTCTGCATTCTTGATTGGCAGTGCTGTAACACTGTACTTTTGCTCTTTATTTCTTCAAAGTCTCCTTGTTAAGGAAATAAAATGTCTAGCTTTCTACTGTATATGTTCAAGTTTTGGTAGGGTAGAATAGCCACACAAGAGCTGACCTCATTCTAAATCCATAGATCCAGAAATACCAATCCCTTCCAATGCAACCATGGGTCAGTGTTACTTTGATAACTGCTAGGTGACATGACTGAATCCATTTTCCTCATATACGAAATGAAGCAATAATGAATCGTCTTTCATGTTTGAAAACATGCCCCCTTCTTAGCTTTTCATTACAGCAGAAATACCATCATTGACACTCCAAGATCAACCAGCAGGGCCTCATTTCCACTGTATCATTTATTACACATCCAGAGATTGGAAGAAGAAAACAGAAAGCTAAGACAAGAAAAGGAGGAGCTCATGAACCAGATACGAGAGCAAGATGTGAATGCAGACAAAGAAAAGGTAGTTCCAGAATTAGGTTTGTTAAACATTCTTGGAAGCATACCAGGGTTTTTTTTAAAAAAACAACAACTAAAATTGTATTTTTATCTTCCTTGTGTGCCCATGTAGATTATTTTAATAAGTTTCTCATTGGAAGCACTTTTGTTATCTGTGTTGTTTTATATTTTTCATATTTAAATTTTAGGATTTATATTGCACTTACTGCATCCTAGAGGACCAGAATGCATTTAAGCAGTTAAGCTGCACCACGCATGATCTTTCTCTTCTATTATTGGTTTATGAAATAATGGAAGATTATAATGGAAGATTCCATTAATGGAAGATTCTGGTTTCGCTGTTATTTTTTTGCAGTCTTGGCTCCTAAAAAGCATTATGCAGAAGCTACACTGTCTGTATAACCAACATAATTTAAGTAAGTGTTTTGCCTGAAAAACCTTGCTTCTTCGTGTATTATAGATATTGCAGCTGTTATCCTTTATGTAATATCTGTACTCTAATATTAAAGCATTTTATACCATAGTATGTTACTCTACCAGCTTCTAAAACCTGACATTTTAGAAAAAAGAAGAGCTGAAGGGATTCCCACTTTGACCTTCCCAAGAATTATAATCCTACCTACCAGACTTTGGATTTTTATCCACCTAATCGAGTCCTCCCCAAGGACCTGGTTTGGGCAGATCTGAATGTTGGATGCCATTAGATGTGCCGTTACAGGATGGAAGCTGTTCTGAGTAAAGCTGCCTTTTGTGGTTGATTGATGGTGAATGTCAATGTTCACATGGTGCTCCAATTTGTGACTATAGGGATCACCTTTGCTTTTATTTCTATTTGCAGGTCTTTGTATTTGATTATCTTCTCCATTTCTTTCTCTTCTATTATGCTGTCTTCAGCTACTGCCACACTCACTATATACACTTTTTTCTCTTTCTTATGAACAATTATTAAGTCTGGCATCTTATGCACCATGTGCCTGTCTGTTTGAATTCAGAAGTCCCAGTGCACTTTAATTTCTTCATTTTCTATTACTTTCTCTATTATTTTATGGTCCCACCAGTTCTTGTTTCTTGGCTAAGGTATTTCTTGCAGATCGTCCAATGCAATCTTCTTGCAGCAACTAAACAGGTGTGTTTGTGTGTATATGTATATGTGTGTGTGCTTTCTGTATTTCTTTATTTTACTTATATGTTTTGATATCTCAGCAATTATACATATAATTCTAATCAAACCTCTGTCTTCAAGTTTTCATCCTAATTGCCTTCTTTCTATAACCTATTCTTCCTAATAATTTTTTTACACACAAAAAAAATCTATTGATGAATGCCAATAATATTTATTTAATGATCAGTTTTTAATACATTTTCTTGTGCTGTTCAGCTATCAAAGAACTTCATAAAAGTAGGCTGGACCTTGAAAATGTGCAGAAAATGGTAAGTATCCAGGTAAAATTACATTGTGGCCAGCAAAATGCATCAATATTAGATGAAATAAATATTGCACTTCAGATGAAGAATAAGTAGTCGTGTTAAGTTGCTTATCAAGAATGAGAAAGAATAGTTCAACTTGAAGGAAAAAAAGTATAATATTTTCTAGTAGTTCTTTCTAATGTAACTGAAATAGTCTTAAACTTTTTGAGTTAGACTGTCTGGAACACCATTTTATTTTAGAATGTTATGAGATCTGCTTTTTCACTTTATATTTTTAAGTGTTTTAATTAATCTTTGGAAAATTGGACTGAAATCTTTGTCAGATTCATTTTCCTACTTTGCTCAGCTGCTTTGCTCAGCTAACACGTAATTTTAATCGCTAAGCTGATTTAGAGTTAAGCACTAGTAATATTTTGATGAGCGATTTGTTGGTTTCAGAATCCCATAGTCCATGGCCACGAGGTGTTATTATAGAAATGAAAATACTTTAAGTAGCAAAAATAAATAAATAAATAAATTAAAATGAATTGCATAAAGTTTAATTTCTTTCAGGTAACTGAAAATAGAGAAACAGAAATGAATGCAAGAGAAATTAAATCTGACACCATAACACAGAATGGACAAGGTTGCTTTGTGGTAAGACTCACCTTCATCTTTCAGTAGAGGCCAACAGCTGATACCATATGAGTTTTTATTTCAAGAAAACATTTTAATTTCATAATTGCTGTTAATTTTGGTACTAGGGTTTGTGATATTTTAGAAAAGCAACCACCTTTAAATTTAAGATAGCAAGACCTTAATTTTATGTAGGAGCGTCATTAGGCATTACTAGCTTAACTTTTAAGCCTTGCTGTTTTGTAGCATTTTTAATCAAATACTTTAAACACGCATTGTTGTTCTTTAAATAGAACTACAGGCTAATGCATTTCGCATCTTGCTGATTTGGGCATAGTTGTCTTACTATTTTTGAGGCAATATATCAAGAGTTCTTGGTATCACTCAGGTGGATATAGAAGAAATACAAGATTACTTACCAGAAAAGAAATTTCTGTTGGAAGTTAAAACCAATCTGGAACAGATCAGATCATCACTGCAGAAACGAGAAACAGAACTCAAGGATCTTCTACAAACTGAACATTGGTGCAACCCTCAAATTACAGAGACAGAAATGATGCAATGAGTGGAGAAAAGTCAGTATGAATGGGCATCTGGGGGGAGGGTGGTCTCAGAGATGGAAATGACAAAACAAGCATGAAGATGTCATCATGCATTGTCTTTTCTTCCATTCTGAGGACACAAGCGCTTTACTGCACCATACATGATAACCTCAACACATCAGTGCCCTTTTGATGATGTCACAGTATTTTGCTGTATTAATTAATTACATTCATTAATTAATTACATTAATGTATTAATGTATATGTACACCAATGTATTAATGTATATGTATATGTACTCAATATAGAAAATTGAAATATACAAAAAGTACCATAGCAATCTGGTCCTAGGATGTGAGTACAGTAGGGTTCAGTTTTGCTAGATATTTGTAAATGTCACTAGCTAGACTATAACCAAATAATCATAGGCCCACACCAGTGGTGGGATTCAGCTGGTTTGCACTGGTTCAAATGAACTGGTTATTAAATTACACTCCTCCCCCCCAGGTTATCAAAGTGGATCCTGGGCACTGCGCTGCAATGGAGAAGCAGGCAACAGAGTGGCCAATGCAATGAAAACAGAAGGCCACTTTCCCTCTCTCTTGTGTCTGCTCCTCCCCCTTCCCTCGTGCTGGCTGCTCCATTGCCCGTTTCTCCATTGTAGCACACAGTAGTGCCCAGGATCCACTTTGATAACTGGGTGGTAATTTAACAACTGGTTTACCAGTGTCAGGTTGAGCCATGCCTCCCATAACAGCTAACCTGAATCTGGTGAACTGGATAAAATATTTGAATCCCACCGCTGGTCCACACCCCATGTAGGCGTACCTGCCAGGGGTTTTTAAGTGGTCCCCCTTCTCCACTGCTTTTAATATTAATTGTGGTCAGTAAACAAGGACCGCCTTTATAAATATTAAGACTACCGGTATGTAAGGTTCCAATTATTTTGGAGCAGAATTTTTGGAGCTCATATCTGTTTTTCGCTCATTAAAGCAGCACATATATACAAGTAGTCCTCGACTTACAATAGTTAACTTAGTGACTGTTCAAAGTTACGACAGCACTGAAAAAAGTGACTTATGACCATTTTTCAGACTTATGACCATTGCAGCATCCTCATCGTCATGTGATTTACATTCAGATGCTTGACAACTGATTCATATTTATGACAGCTGCAGTTTCCTTGGATCATGTGATCTCCTTTTACAACCTCCTGACAAGCAAAGTCAATGGGGAAACCAGATTTTAATTATTAATTTAACAACTGCAGTGGTTCACTTAACAAATGTGTCAAGAAAAATAGTAAAATGGAGCGAAACTCATTTAACAAATTTCTCACTTAGCAACATAAATTTTGGACTCAATTGTGGTTGCAAATACAGGTAAATCCTCAATTTACAAAATACAATTCAGAATACAAAAAGATTAACTTTCATCATTATGAATCTTTCAGGAGTCACAGATAATCCATCTTCACAATTCTTCCTCGTGTTTATCATGATAGCGTAAACTCATCCTGAAAAAGTCTTGTAGATGCTTTTTTCATTTTTCTTGTTTCTTTTTTTTAATATGTACAGAAAAGGCTTGATTTTGGAGAAGGAGCTTCTCTTTGAAGTTAATGCAATCATCTCTTTTCCTTTGCTTCTTCTCATTTGTACCATTTTGTGGCAAACATTTGGTGGCAAACATCAGATTTGTTTCTAAGTATATGATTTAATCATTTCTATTCTTTCATTTTTGCATGGTTGAAATCAGTTCTAGATTTCCAGGTGTGAACAAATTAATCGCCTCTCCCTCATCAGACAGGCAGCTCTATAAATTTGATTAATAAGTAAATAAATAATAAAATCTGTATTCAACCTATCACAAGAACATTAAAAGTAAATATAAAAAGAGGGCTTCTATGACAGTTGCTTAATTTCTTTCACATAACTGAAAATAGAGAAACAGAAATGAATGAAAATTCTCCAAAATATGTTTTGAATTATAAAACATTTCATACTGTGTCTAAGTCTGATTTGTTGGGGCAGGCTTCATAATTTATATGGATGCATTTATCTATTTGCTTGCTTGTTTTAAATAAAATTTATAGGCCTTCTAACTCATAGCAGCCCTAGATATTAAGTAATCAGTTGGATGATTGCCTTGCCTTGACATGAACAAATATAATAAACTTTAAATATAATAAACATTGAACATGCCCAATGTTCAATAAGAAGGAAAATTAATGAATATTCTTGTTTTATCTTACATTTAACATGAATGTATATCTCTACGTCAATTACTTAAAACAGTTCATAGTCAGCCAAATAATAACACAATTTATTTTATTTATTTTACTTCTTATTTCACTTTTGATAATTTTGAAATTGAGCCAACAATAGCCCATTTAATCAATAATCAATTCTCACAACTGGAAGCTCGTAATCCACTCAAAACATCTCCTAGTGGGGCACCTTTCAGTTTTTGCCAATGTCCCCTTGCTTTCCTATCCTTTGCCTACAGTGTTTGCTCTCACATGCACACTTTTTAAAGTTTTGAAAAATAAGGGCATTGCCTCTTTATTTCTATGAAGCTAGTTGTTCCTTGCTACCAAGTTCCCATGGGCCTAAGGAGGAATGTAGGAGTGAAAGAACAAGGATGATGCCTCTGGCTTTACAATAATTATCAGAGCTATGATGGAAACACGAAAGGTCTTTGCAGTGCCAAGGAGAACATATGGAAAGGGGAGAGCTGAGGGCAACCATGTGTGCAAATATCTGGGAAAGCAACAGAAAGGCATGAGAACTACTGAGAACAGAACAGGAAGAAAGGAAAGGCATGGTACACTGATCCATGAAGAAGTCAAACAGTGATGCTGCATGGATTGGAAGGGCAAGAATCATGGGGTGGGGGGGTGGGGGGGGAGGTGGGGAACCCAACCAAATCTTGTGATGGCCAAAGTCCAGATTGAGCACGAGCCCATTATCAACTACTGGAATCCAGAGTGGAATTTATAATGGTAGCTTAAGAAACAGCTGGAAACAACATGGGAGACAAGTAGCTTCAGTTACAGTATAACCACCCTAAAAGATACTAAAATCCCCGCAGGGTTTCAAGTCAAAAGCTACCAGTATCTGGTTAAAAAGTTTAGAAAATGCCAGATATTAACCAAAGCAGCCAAGTCTGGAATGCTGAAGAGTGGCGAATGATGGCTGGAACTCAAGCTAAGGCAAAAAGGACCTTTGTTTCTCTGCACCCCTTAGCGGGTGTGGGGGGTGTTAAGCCCTGGTAATTCAGGTTGTTATGTATAATTCAAGGCTGCCTGTAAAAGAAAAGAGAGAATTTTGAGGGGGGAAGGAACAGGAGAAAATGAGTTTAGGAAAAATTGCAGGGATTATGATACAGACATCATAAGAAGTCCATTGAATAAGATACATATTGAAAAGAAAGTTGATGTAAATAAATCTGTAGAAGCCTATAAAAATACAATAACATAAAGCTAAACGCATAGAAAACCCATAAGAGAAGATGCATGCATTATAGGGAGAAAATATTTAAACAATAAATGGTATCCTCAAATAAAGTGATGTTTTTCTACAATAATTTTTTCCTTCAATCTTCATTTTTTGGGGGGTGGGGGGTAGTTGGCACCGTTTCCCTGTGCACGTTCTTGGATGCTGGAGGTGGTAGTGAATATTGTTTGTTTCCACACATTTTATTTTTCCTTTCTTTTGTAGCTGTATTAGACCAGTGGAATCTATGCATACAATGGATGGAAGTAGATATTAATAATAATTTGAGGGATATTTATGTCAAGGTTTTTCCAATGTCACTGATTTTGCATGCTTCCATTGGAATTTAATCTTCCCATGTCTCTGCAGTTCTGTATATCCTACATAAAACTCATATGTTCCCAGGAGCAATCATTATCCACCACTTTACAGTTAAATTGGTTTGACCCATTCCTTCCTTCTCCAACATCTATCATTTGGCATTTTTTATTTGATCTGGATTCAAACTGGGCTGCTAACAACTGTGAACCATTCCTCATCTTCAAACTGGCTTTTGCTCTGGAAAATGTTTGTGTGCTTACGCACTTCAGTTTGTTTGCTTTATATTTTACTTATTTCATACTGCTCAGAGCAACCTGTAAGCTGGAACAGAACTTTACTTTTATATACACAGTACTCTAGATCTGGCAGTGCCGTTTTAACATTTTAAAGGTGCATATTCAAGAAAGCGACCACTCCAAAATGTAAAGCTTTGAGCAAATAGTACACTAAAAACATAAATTAAGAAAAAATACTAACCCATCTGTCTAAATATACTTAAAATTTGCATTAGGAAAGTAGGCCAAAAATGTATTGTCATGCAAACCTAAGATGAAAAAAAATCTGATTTGAAAAATGGCATGAGGCATGAGGAATAATAAGAAACCTGAAAGCAAAATTGACCAATTCATCAATCCATGGCTATGGATACTTCAGTTGTGTTAGTTTGGAAACCTTTGGACCTGTGATCCCAGCTCTGCAACAGTATTGGAAACTGAGTTAATAAATATCCACTTGAAGAGCTAAGTTCAAACTACTTTTAAGCCATTGCAGCTTTATTTTCCCATCGGGGAGACACTTCATTTGTCAACTTACCTACCGGCTCCTGAGTTTCAGATGGTTTTTTTCAGCAAATGTTACTTTATGTGGAAGCAAAGGAGAACCTGATAAAATGGCCAATTTCATTTCTGCTAACTCCTAGGGTAACATTTAGGTAAGTGCTTTAGTTTCATCAGCTTTGTCTGGCTTCTTGATAGCCAGACAAAACTGAGCAGTGATGAAATTGGCCATTTTGCCAGGTTCTCCTTTGCTTCAGCATAAGACCTGCAAACTAAGAAAACATCTGGTTTTCAAGTTTACACTTTGATTTTTCTTAAGACTTTATAGGATAATGTCTTTTAGTGCTCATCTCCTTGACAAATCTCAGCCGCAAACCTGACTGGGAAGTAAAAGTTCATTGGATTTGATGAACTTTCAAGTCAATGTACATA